TCCTGCTGGGACACTTACTCCAGCTCAAGGTGCCACAGCCCTCACCCAGCGCCCTCTCTGGCCATGGGAAGTTACCCCATTCACTGCTATGCCAGACCACCAAATGACATTCCTGCAGGACCTGGTCCCTCACAACTTTCTCCTTGGTCCTTGCTCTTAGACTGGGGCTTTATCTTGTCCTGTGTACTGCCACTGCATGCTCTGTTCTGGGCATACTGTGTTGGACAGTTCCCTAGCACACCTCAGGCCAGGCTAGCTCTTCTCCTCAAGTGCCTTTTGATCCCTTATGTGCTGCTGCTGCCCCTCCCCTCACCGTGTTTGGTGCACACCCACCCTGACATCCTCCCTTTCTTCTGCCTCAATGGTGGTCCAGATAGACATTTCTCATAACGCCCCCATACCACTCACTCATACTTTTCTGTTCATTTGTATGCCCATGAGCCCAAGATCCACTTTAAGGGCTCCCATGTCAATTTTTCTTTTGCTCTTTACATATGATAGGAGCTCAGTAATTGTTAAATATACGAATGGGTGGGCTTTAATGCATTTTAGATGATAAAGGAGGAATTCAGGAATGTTTTTATCCTGATCTTGATAGTCACTGAATCCCCAGCGTCTTTTTACGTATCTTTCTACAGAGGACTATTGAATATCCTTAGTTTGATATTAGACAAAATTAATGTTGACTCTCAACTATGTGCTAGCACTTGATGACTTTAAGTCAGGCACTTGAATTCCCAAAGACTCTCAGGCAAAAGACCCATGTATCATTGAGGCTGCTCTCTGCTGTAAGTAACAAAACCTGGCTTAAAGAGGCTTAAACAATAAGGGCATTTATTATCTCTAGGAACATGAAGTCCTAGGTTGGCTTATTCAGTGGCTCATTGTCAAGGGGCATAGTAAGGCCTATTCTACTTTACTTTTGTGTTGGTTTTGTCTTCAAGCTTATGTTTTCATCAAAGCTTGGCTGCAGCCATTCTGAGCATCAGTCCAGATAAGATAATATCTACAGGTAGGAAAGTGAACACCTCCTTGTCATGTCCTTTTAAGAACCAGGAAAAATAAGAACTTCCTTCCAACCAAAGAAGGCTTACCTCACATCTCATTGGTGTAGAATTGCTTCATGCACCCATATCTAAATCATGGCAAGAGAAATGGGACTACTGTGATGGGCTAAGAGTAACCAAGAAATACCCCTGGAGCTGGGGCTGGGGAGGGGCTTTCTTTCAGCACATCTTGTAACCATCAGAAGAAACTCGGTGTGCTGCTAGATAGGAGGGAGTAGGTGTAAAGGAATTGAATATTGGTGGGTAACCAACCACTAGTGTCTGCCATAGTCCAGAAGACAAGTTTATTGAGGCTCTCATGTGCTTAGGCTCTTTGTACACATCTTATTTAGACCTTAGGACAGCCTTGTGGCATAGAGAATCATTTCATGTCCTTAACCTCACTGATACAGTAAATGGGAGCTCAATGAGGTTAAAGATGTAAAGCTAACTACTTTCTGTACTCATGCTGCCTTTGGTTGTGGATATGTAAATGTTTCAATAAATTTTTTTTTCGTATTCTGCCTTGATAGCTGCAAAGACTACATGTCTCAGCCTCTTTTCAGCTTAGCTTACCATAAAAAGTTCTGCCAGGGATCTCCTTTATCAGCTCTTTCCAGTTTTCCCTAGGGAAGTTGTAAAAGAATGACACACACTCAGAGAAGGGAGATATTGGTATTAAAGTCAACTGAAGCCTTATGGGTAAATAAGGCTGAATAAAACCAGCAGGGTCTACACTGTCCCTGAGATATGAGCCAGGAGGAGATAAGGGCTTTAGTGCATATCCCACTAGGGTTTGCTGTCTTCTGGCATGGAGCTGTACTGGGTAGTTAAAACTGTCCAACTGTGTGTGTTGGGACTGGGTATTAGAGAAGGCTCTGTGATGCATGGAACTTAGATTAGAGCTAGGTATATTATTCATCAAAAGTTGATGAATTAACACCTGTTCATCTCAAACTATTCCAAAAAATTTAAGAGGAAGGAAGGCTCCTAAGCTCATTTTATGAGGCCATCATTACCCTGATTCCAAAACCAGACAAAGACATTACAAAAAAGGAAAGTTATAGGCCAATATTCCTGATAAACATAGATGTAAAAATCCTCAACAAAATATTAGCAAACCAAATTCAGCAATACATTAAAAAGATCATACATCATTATCAAGTGGGAATTATTCCTGGATGCAAGGTTGGTTCAGTATACATAAATCAATTAATGTGAAACACTACACTAACAAATTGAAAGATAAAAATCATATGATCATATCAATAGATGTAGAAAAAGTTTATGACAAAATCCAGCATCTGCTTATGATAAAAACTCTCAGCAAAGTGGGAATAGAGGGAATATACCTCAACATAATAAAGTCCATATATGACGAACCCACAACTAACGTACTCAATGGAGAAAAGCTAAAAGTGTTTTCCTTAAGATCAGGAACAAAACAAGATGTCCATTTTCACCACTTTTATTCAATGTAGTATTGTGAGACCTAGCCATTAGCAATCAGACTAGAAAAAGAAATAAAAGCCATTCAAATTGGAAAGGAAGAAGTAAAAATTATTTGCAGATGACATGATACTATATATAGAGAACCCTAAAGATTCCCCCAAAAAACTATTAGACTTGATAGTCAGTAAAGTAGCAGGATACAAAATTAATATTCATCAAAAAACTGTTAGACTTGATAGTAAAGTAGCAGGATACAAAATTAATATTCAGAAATAAGGTCCATTTTTATATACCAATAATGAACTATCAGAGAAATTAAGAAAACAATCCCATTTACAATTGTATCAAAAACAATAAAATGTAGGACTAAATTTAACCAAGGAGGTAAAAGACCTGTACTCAGAAAATTATGTTATTTAAGAAGGAAATTGAAGAAAACACAAATAAATAGAAGCATATACTGTGCTCATGGATAGGAAGAATTAACATCATTAAAATGTCTATACTACCCAAAGCAATCTACAGATTCAAAGCAATTCCTATCAAACTACCAATGGCATTTTTCACAGAACTAGAATAATCATAAAATTTAGGAACCATAAAAGACCCCAAATAGCCATGGCAATCTTGAGAAAGAACAAAGTTGGAGGTATCACACTACCTGGTATCAAACTGCTACAAGGCTATAGTCATCAAAACAGCATGGTACTGGCATAAAAACAGACACATAGGTCAATGGAACAGAATAGAGAGCCCAGAAATAATTCCATGCCTATATGGTCATTTAATCTATGACAAAGGAGGCAAGAATATACAGTGGAGTAAAGATATTCAATTCAGTAAATGGTGTTGGGAAAACTGGACAGATACAGTTAAAATGAAACTGGACCACTTTCTTACACCATATGTAAGAATAAATTCCAAATGAATTAAAAACTTAAACGTAAGACCCCTAAATGACAAAACTAGAAGAAAATATAGGCAATAAACTCTTGGACATTGCTCCTAGTAATATTTTGTCTGATATATTTTCTCAGGCAAGGGACACGACAACAAAAAAATAAATGGGACGACATCAAACTAATGAGTTTTTGCATAGCAAACCACCAACAAAATGAAAAAACCTATGGAATGGGAGAAGATATTTGCCTATGATACATGTGATAAGGAGTTAATATCCAAAATTTGTAAAGAACTCATACAACTCAACACCAAAAAAACAAAAACTCCAATTAAAAAATGGGCAGAGGACCTGGATAGGCATTTCTTCAAAGAGGACATACGGATGGCCAATAGACATATGAAAAGATGCTCAACATCACTAATCAAAAGAGAAATGCAAATTAAAATCACCATGAGATATCTATCACCTTGCACCATTCAGAATGGCTATGGTCAATAAATCAAACAACAAATGGGATGACATCTAATAAGTTTTTGCATAGCAAAGATGTAGAGAAAAGGGAACACTGTTGATGGGATTGCAAATTGGTGCAGCCACTATGGAAAACAGTTTGGAGGTTCCTCAAAAAGTTTAAGATAGAACTACCTTTTGACCCAGCAATTGCACTTCTAGGTATTTATCCAAAGAAAACCAAAACACTATTTCGAAGATACACATGCTCCTATGTTCACTGCAGTGCTACTTACAATAGCCAAGATAGGGAAGCAACCTAAGTGCCCATCAAAAGATGATTGGATAAAGAAG